GGCCTTTTCAGGTGGTTGAATGTTGAACTGAACCCTTTATTTCCTCACTGAGGTAGACTGTTCTGAGTTCCATGTGCCATGTTTTAATGGATGTCAGTTATCAGTTATCTCTTGTTAATTCCTCTTCTCCGTTTTCTCATCCTTAACCATATATTGAACTCACACTTTTGGGACTGTCCTGGATCTATGCCTTTTATCCACTGTGTCCTTATGACACATGGCACAGTGGATAAAGGCGTTGGATGACCCAGTGACAAGACCCAAAGAGTGTGAGTTCAATACCTGGTTAAGGTAGTGCAGAGGGAAATTAACAGGAGATAACTGATAACTGACATCCATTAAAACATGGCACGTGGAACTAGAACAGTCTACCCCAGTGAGCGAAATAAAGGGTTCAGTTTGACATTCCAACCACCTGAAGAAGGCTGGAGCATACAACGGCTGAAATATTGTAATAAATATGGCAACAAAGATGAGGACAATAGTTCGAACAATGTAAATAGTGTACATAATACCTCATCTCAGAAATATAGGCAGATACTAGATCCTCTCTATTTCCAGCTTATTAGAGTCTTTCATTAGAAGAATGAAATGATTCATTAGTTGTATACGACCGCACTCTCATTTATATGAAGCTGGATGCCTACTGGTTGTTCAAGTCATGTAAAATTGCAAAAGAAAATTTGAAAATAAGTTATTTGATGTGTATCGAGATGCACATTACATATTTGATAACAGTTATGAAGAAGAATAGAATGTAAACATACAGCATGATCCTTGTTCAAGTTTTCCACCAATCAATGATTATTGCACATTGTGTCTGTGTTCTAGTTCATGTCAGTGTGCAGCAAAAGCTGTGAAAGGGTCTGTTGCATGTTGACAATGTAACAAAGATGAAAAACAAATGTCACATTGAGAAATGGGAATGCAAACCCTATTTAAAATATTATATTCAGGTCTTTTATTCATAGCTCACTTGACTGGGTGGGTGCTTCATTGGTACATTGAACAACTTCTGCCATATCAATCTAACAGCTCAGCTATCCCCAACTCCTAACTCTTCAAACATCTGCACATCCCAATGTGTGGCTGGTAATATGAAATAGTGGCATCGGAACTATGTGAGCAAAGTTCATCTCCCACCAAGAGCAAACCAGAATGCCCCCCCCTCTTCCAAGCATGACTGTTAATTTAGACCAGCAACTGGAAATAATCAAATGTTACTTGGTCTCCAAAAGCCCCCATCTACTCCTTTGCTCTTCTGTTCCCCTTCAGTCAAAGTGGATTCTACTTAGAAGACTAGACTAAAACAGCTAGCAATAAAATAGAAACACTTGAGATAAAAATCACACACTTTCCTCTCTTCTACATAGTGTGTGTGTGTGGGGGGGTAACAAGAATAGCAGAAACAGTAAGGAAAGAGAAACAGTGGTTAATGCAGTCAAGTGTAACAGCAGCAGCAGCAGGCAATAAGAACATTAGGTTTAAGGTTGCAAATTTGATGTTCAGGATTCTGCCATGAGACAATAGGCCAGTGGATTAAAGCATTGGTTTGGGAATTTGAGGGCAAAGTTCAATCACGAGTAGAGGTCAGACTTAGACTTAGTGGAAACAGTACAATCAAATAAATGAGCAGAACTAAAAAGAACAATACAAGATATTCCTAGACATGGACAGAGGAATGAGAACAGTTTATGCCTGTAGATTAAATAAAGGGTTCAGTTCAAAATTCCCTGAAAGTTACTTAGATTGAAAAGTTTCTGAAGAATGGATGAAATGTGATAATAAACAAAAATGAAGAAACTAGTCTGAATTTAAATAATGTAAATTTCTTTGCATAAAATGGCAATATTAATAATTTTTAAGATTTGTTTTCGTCTTGTGTTGAACATTTTCTGTTCTTTATTTCTATAAGTTCCTTTGATTCCTTTCATAACTTATTGGAATATAATGGAAGAAAATTTTCTTTTTTTTTTATGAAATGTAAATGAAATTTTTAAGCATTTTATAGATTTTCTCAAATACTCTATATGGTTCTTTTTGTTTTTATCATTTACATTTTTGTCTTATCATAGCAGTTATCTATATTGTATTTATGGAGTGTAATCCATAAATAAATACAATATAGAAATAAACACAATATAGATTGCTACTATCATAAGATATTGTTGATTCCAATTCACAGCGGGAATTGACTGCAGAACACTCCCCCCTCCTCCCCAATTTATAGACAGAAGCACGCAAATGCAGGCTGGTATTTTTTCCTAACCAATAAAATAAGCCAGTTCTCGGTTTCATCTGACTCAGTTGCAGTCTGTCTTGTCTTGAAGTCAGAATGTGTGTGTGTGTGTGTAACGAATGCATGACCACAATTTTCGACAGATTTGCACCAAAATTTACATGCACATGCTCCAAGTTAGCAAAAAGGCCAAGACCGACTTTGCATTTCCCAACTCCCATTGATAGTGGAAATAATTGATTTTTTTCATGCTTCTATGGCAGTTTTCATGTAGTTTGTGGCCATTTTGTACTGGCCAGAGTGAGAGCCTATAGCTGGCTGCCACGAATAGGCAGGAAGATTCTATTGGTCAGTGTGAGAGCCAACAGCTGACTGACACGAATGCTAACTAGCATGTTAGCATGCAAAAAAAAAAAATCAATAGCTGCATTTGTCACAAGTGGGAAAAATTTAAATCTGCATGGCACTTTACTCCAATTGGCTCATTCGCTTGCTTAAACTCAATGTTGATTCTGATTCTGCAGAACTGGGTTGGGTGTGAAAAAGTATTTGTTGTTAACATTCTTTTTTCATTCGGTTTTTCCAGTTACGAGTCCTTTTTTAAAACTGATCGTTTTGTGTTCATTTCGTTTAGTTCTTTTTTCGTAACAGATTTAATGTTTAGTATAGAGCTTAGAAAAAATTTGCAGTGTGGGATAGGCAAGAAGTAAGGCATGTAGCAACATCAGTACGGCAAAGGGCATTCCTTTAAAGGCAAGGAAGGGCAAAAATATTTTAAGTCAAGTGATAGCGATTGATGTATGAGTCGTACGATTTTTGAATCAAGCACGGGCAACGCTGGGCCATGCTGCTAGTTACTGTTAATTTTCCTTGCATATGTTGTTTGTTTGCTTTATATACGCCCCCCTCCGCCCGGATTCTTTTTTTTCTTGTTATTGTTTATTGCAAACTTTGTCAATTCTGTTTGTTGGGCAGTTCTGTCATTTATTTACAATTAACCATGGCCACTCACTCTACAGATATTCAATAGCTGTTTGAATCTGTTTCTTTTTAGACTCAAAATACATAACTTTTGATACTTTTATGTTACAGACAAATCACACTAAATATGATAGATCTTTATTAAAGTGTGAGTTAATATGTCTCATTATGTAAGGATTGACCTTTTATGAGTTTTAGCATGATGTATAATTTGGGTTAGCATCATCATTAAGAAGAAATGCTCAGTGACATTAAAAGTCTAAAGTCCTTTTAGCAACAAGGATTTGCATAATAAAGCAAACATGATTAAATATTTAAAATATTTGAAAATAGTGCATTTATTTTTAAGAAACCTTTTTTTTTTAGATTAATAAAATTAGTGTGTTAAAGTGTTTTCTTTATGGGTAACAAAGCAAAAACTAGGCTGAAGTTAAAACCTTTCATGAACTTATATTTCTTTACAAATACTCTGACATAAATTACTTATCTTCAGACTCTTCTGCTATTTTATGGCATTCACTAAATGTTGGAATTAAAAAGGACCAAATTAGGACCAAGATGTCTACAAATTTTTCAGATTATTACTGTTATTTATAAAATGTCATTTATGCAGATAATTTTGGAAATCATATATAAGTGCTATTGAAATACAAGTTTTTGATTATACACTCTTTAAAGATGCCTTGTTCTTCATTTGGATTAGATCCTCTCTTGCTCAGTGTAAGATATCTTTATGAAATATCCTACAAAATATGCCACTGAAAATAAGTTTGGTTTTATTAGATTTCATTTTATATTTTTATTGTCAATTCATTGCATGTTGGCATTTGTTTTGCTACTCTTATTCATTAATTACTCTTACCTTTATTTTTAGTTTCATTTCATAATTTTTATATTTTCTCCCAATAAGCTTCACTTTTCATCGTTATTTTCTTCTTTTTCTTACACATTTGGTGAACTATAAATAAATTTTGCTTATCACTTTTAACTGGCACCTTTTCAATTATGTATCTTTTAAGTCATCTCTTATTTTATTTGATGGTGCAAATTGTTTCTGCTGACCTCACAGCTTCTTAAAGGGTTTTATATATATATATATATATATATATATATATATATATATATAGAGAGAGAGAGTTAGCAGACTACTATCTTCACTTTGATTCTTTCTCAGCTTATGTTAGTTTCTTTAAAAAATATTTGCTAGATTTTATGATGCTCTTCTCTTGCTGTTTTCTCTCTCTCTCTCTCTTGTAAAATATAAAATTTTGTTTCAATTAATATTTACATCCTAACTGATCATAATCTCTCTTTAACATTCCATGTTTTTCTTTGGATGTTTGCCTTTCTTTTCTCAGACCAGTGCTCTTTACCTGTCAATTTCTTTGGATGTTTGCCTTTCTTTTCTCAGACCAGTGCTCTTTACCTGTCAATTTCTTTGGATGTTTGCCTTTCTTTTCTCAGATTTCTTTTGTTTGCCTTTTCTCAGACCAGTGTCAATTTCTTTCTTTGGATGTTTGCCTTTCTTTCTCAGACCAGTGCTCTTTACCTTTGTGTTTGCCTTTTCTTTTCTCAATTTCTTTTACCTGTCAATTTTTTGATGTTTGCCTTTCTTTTCTCAGACCAGTGCTCTTTATGTTTACCTGTCAATTTCTTTTGATGTTTGCCTTCCAGTGCTTTTTACCTTTCAATTTCTTTTGAGACCAGTGCTCTTTACCTGTCAATTTCTTTGACCAGTGATGTTTGCCTTTTCTTTTTCAGACCAGTTTCTCTTTAGACCATGTTTGCTTTACTTTTTTCTCAGACCAGTGTCAATTTCAATTTGATGTTTGCCTTTCTTTTCTCAGACCAGTGCTCTTTACCTGTCAATTTCTTTTGGATGTTTGCCTTTTCTTTTCTCAGACCAGTGCTCTTTTACCTCAATTTCTTTGATGTTTGATTTTTTTTTTCAGACCAGTGTTTTTACCTCGTCAATTTCTTTGGAATTTCCTTTTTTTCTCAGACCATGCTTTTTACCTGTCAATTTCTTTGGATGTTTGCCTTTTCTTTTCTCAGACCAGTGCTCTTTTACCTGTCAATTTCTTTGAGACCAGTGTTTTACCTGTCAATTTCTTTTGATGTTTGCCTTTTCTTTTCAGACCAGTGCTCTTTTACCTGTCAATTTCTTTTTGATGTTTTCTTTTTTCCTTTTCTTTTCAGACCAGTGCTCTTTACCTGTCAATTTCTTTGGATGTTTGCCTTTCTTTTCTCAGACCAGTGCTCTTTACCTGTCAATTTCTTTGGATGTTTGCCTTTCTTTTCTCAGACCAGTGCTCTTTACCTGTCAATTTCTTTGGATGTTTGCCTTTCTTTTCTCAGACCAGTGCTCTTTATGTTTCTTTGATGTTTGGCCTTTCTTTTCTCAGACCAGTGCTCTTTACCTGTCAATTTCTTTGATGTTTGCCTTTCTTTTCAGACCAGTGCTCTTTTACCTGTCAATTTCTTTGATGTTTGCCTTTCTTTTCTCAGACCTGCTCTTTTACCTGTCAATTTCTTTGATGTTTGGTTTTCTTTTCTCAGACCAGTGCTCTTTACCTGTCAATTTCTTTGGATGTTTGCCTTTCTTTTCTCAGACCAGTGCTCTTTACCTGTCAATTTCTTGTGAACCACACCCAGCTGAAGAGTTACTTTCTTTTTGTAGATGTCTAAGCTGCACCCTACCTACTTTTCTGTATCTTGTAAACACCACCTATGTGAAGTAGGAGTTTTAAGCCCAACCTATCAACCTTTGGAACCCTTAATATTTTATACTTTTTGCTCTTTTTGTCCCTCTCTCTATTTCTTTTCATGTTGTTCTCCTTTGTTTTGCATCAAATTTCCTTATGTTTTTATTTCACATTACTTGTTACATCGCATGAGATGATCAAGGTTCGACCCCATCGTTGACTGCCAAGCCTTCAAACTGCACAGGCTAACACTACTTTTCTCTATTTGACTGACAAACATATATATATCTTTACATTGAATTTTTCTTTAAGCCTGCTGGAATCTCTTGCCACCAACAGAATCTCTCAAAAGTTGAATCACTTTTTGTCTCTACCCATCTCACCCCTGCCTACACGGATTTTTAATTTTTTTTTTCTGCTCAACCATGGGATTTGCTGTCTCTTTCTATATCCTGCTCTTTCCTTAATCTTTAAATTCAATGTTCTTTGGTGATTTTCTCTCCCCTCCCCTACCCTGTTTTTGAGTCTGTATACTTTCATTTTTTTTTTTTTTTTTTTTTTCTGGTCACCATATACCACAATTTTATGTTGTCTCTTGTTGGCTACTTTTTCTCTAAATCATCTTAACATTTCCTCTGGTATGCAATCTATTCCTCTTTTGTTTTTCCCCCAGCCATAATTTTTTCCTCACTTATTTTGCTTTAAGTCATCATCACTGGCAACATTACCTGTCATTCTTCTCATATTATACTTCCTCTTTTATTTATTTACCTGTATTTTTCTTTTATGTCAATTTTTCATTTCATTTCAGTTTTTTTTTTTATTAGCAACTTCTTCATTACACAGAAAACTTACATCTTTTCCTATTCCTTTCCACTTTCATAGGTTTCCTTCATTGTTTGATCACATTGAATTGTTTCTTTTTATTTTACATTTTCCTACCATTTTTTTCCCTTTTCTTTTGTTAAAAAAGTCCTTTTCAATTCTTCAGTTAATTCTCTCCCCTTCCTCTCACCTTTTGTGCAAACATCCTCCTCCTCCTCCCACTACCATCACCAGTCTCATTTGGTAATATTTTGCTTGTCTTCTTTGCACTTTTTATAAAAGAATTGCAAAGATATTAAATTAAAAGTGATTTGCATATATACTGAAGCCAAAGAAGAAGAACAAGAAATGAATCCAGCAATTTACATTTTTTCTTCTTCTTCTTCAACCCCCCCCCTCCAATTCTCTCTCTCTCTTCACTGTACAACTAACTTTATATAACTTGCCAGTGTTTGGTGCTGTGATTCTTTTTTCACTTTGCTCCAGGCTACAAAAAGCTGACACTGCTCCATATTTTCTGTCTTTGTTGCTTTTATTTTGATGAGAAAATCTGTCTGTTGGCTCAGAATTTCTTTTGCAGAAGCCTTTTCTCTTTACTACTTTCTTATTCCCACCCCTGACAAACCTTAGCAGTGACACCTCAAGTCTATAATCTTAAAATGTCTCTCTACATGCTGTGCTTGATTTGTTTTTAGTGACACACTGACATTATTGTGTAATATGCTAGCTCTTAGGGGTTCAAAGTTTGGAAGGATTCCAGCACTCCAATAGCCAGGAGCAAACAATGATTTCTTTGTCCTGGATTGAGTACTTGAGCATGGAGTCACCTCACCAACCACTCAACTGGCTGACAATGAAGCCTTGTGTTCATTGGTCTCTTTTTTGCCTACTCGGTCATTGGGTCATCACTAAGAAACATCCGCTAACAAGATTGTTTTTATCATCTCTAAGATTATTGGGCGATGAAGTATTTCTAATGAAAAGCATATTTTGCATCTAAATAATTTGACACAAAGGTGTTTTTATTAATGTTGGTTAGCTTTTCAAACCCCAACAGAATAAAAGACAGGTCACTTTGAAAAAATGCCTGAGGCATGTTGATAAGTGTTAATAGCAGATATTGAAGGAATCTCTTGACTTTACTCTCTAAAGGTTACAGAGTGAATTAGAATCACTTTAAAGGTATTGATTTTGATTGCAGGTTTTCTGAATTAAATCCACTTATTGATTAAATCTTTGGACTGTATTCATTGGTATCTCATTGTTCCCTTAATTTTGATTTCAAACACTGAAATAATTTCACCAGTCAAGGGAAATTTAGATCAGAATACCCTTGTTATTTTCTATATTTCACAGTTATTTTCTCGTTTCAAATTGTAATTGATTGTAAACCATACAATTTTAGTTGTTCACTCAGTATTGTTTGCATAAGTACCCAAAACACAGAAAATTACAGAATTACCTACCTTGATAGTTGTTTGTTATTCATTGTATTTAAAAAAAAAAAATTTGTCATTCATAATCTTGGTTTTCTAACTTAGTAAATGCTCTCATGTAAAACTTTCAAATAAAAGAAGTTTATTATTGAAAGTGGTGATATTGACTAACATAATGGTTACTGACACAGAAAATGGAATTGATGAACTGTGTTCAAATGTTTGCTTTCAATTTGAACTAATGACAAATCCACTTCCATTATTGTTTTATTGCTAGATGAACAGGCAAAACTGTCTCATCACTGATTTGTTATAATTAATGGTGAAAAGTCTAAATGAGCAAATTACTGTCCAATAACTGAAGTTTGTCCAGGCAGTAGCAACAAAATCTCTTAACACTGTTGTCAACCATGACGGTCCAATTCTTTTAGTTTTCTTTCTTTCTTTTTAATCTTTTTACCTTCTAAGCAAGGTGATAATGCCACTAGGACGCATGAACTTACGTGGAGAGAAAGAGAGTGAGAAAATTTTAGTGAGAAGAAATAAAAGAACAGGATTCACTTAACATTTTTTTTTTTAACTGATAACATTTTTAAGATTTAATATTGTTAAATAATATATGTCCATTAATTTTTGAATAACTTTTAGATAAATATTGAATGCCATTCAATAGATGAATTTTTACATCATATAGTTGTATAAATTCAGGCTGAGCCACAATGGAACTGAAGCCGTGTGAAATATTAATTATGCATTTTGGGGCAAAACTCTTAACGAACAATAAGCTTTTAATTTTAAAAAATTCATAAGTTAAAATAGTTTAGTTTAGAAAACCAGGAGACAAGTTGACCAAAAACCATTAATCAGTATTGAAGATTTGAAAGCTGTAGCAGAAAAATATATCTGGAATCCATTGCAACAAACTTCAATGTATCAGTTGGATTTTTTTTCCAATCATTTAAGAGTGATTGTCAAAAACATATAAATGGCCTTTGAGTTGAGGAACAAAAATATGTGTGTGTGTGTGTATTGAGGCATGAAAATTGATTTTGCTCAATTGTGTGAAATTGATCCTTTTTTGTATCACATGTGTGATAAAAATGCATTTTGTGTAAGAGAAATGTGGCTAAATTCAAAGGAGAATGCAGAATATCAACTGCGACCAGACTGTCATCTTTTCGTGTCCATAACTTTCATTCAAAATGGCTAAACTATTAAATGCATATAAGTAGACCAAACTGAAATAGATAAACACAGCAGCACTCTTTTTGATGACTAATTGCTTGTAAAAATGTCATCACTAAGTTGAATCAATTGAAGATGAGGGTTTTAGCCATCATAGCAACCTTTTTAGGGGTAAGAATTTCTGCAATCAGGATGAAACTGAAGAACTCTTCATTGAATTTAATGCATCTGTGAATGAAGTTTGTTTTGTTTATTTTTTTTATAGAAAGGAATTTATGAATTAGTGCCAAAATCGAATGTTTTCTGCACTTATTTAATTTAGTCTTTTCATGTTAAATATCCTGGTATAATGTAGACGTGTTTGAAAATTAAAGAATGGATTTAACACTGTAAATTAATAAATTTGATTCTAGTAATAAGTCATAAGCAGCAGTTAGTGGAGGAGAAAAACTGAAAAATTTGATGTTATTTGGAATGTTGGTTGTTAAAAATACACGGAATTAACAGGATTAATTTAAGGAAAGGGAATTCAAATTAAATTGGAATCTGTTTTAAAATCATTTTCACTTCATTGTATGACTTGTTTCTCTCATCTTTTGTTTTGCAAATCACTTTGTATAGTTAGAGAAACTGTTGTATGCAACTCCTTGCTTTTATCAGTGAATTTTGTATCTGATCAAGTTTACTGAATAATTTTAACTTTGACACAAGGTCATGTTGTTGAAGTTGTTCTAGTAGGATTGCCAGTTGTTGAAAAGGGATATTATTTAGTGATGTGTATTTATGCAAATTACAAATGTACTATTTAGCAAGTAGTACTTTGCTAGTTTGCTGTTGTATTGTTAATTGTTGAAGAGATATATTTTCTTGTGTTGTATACAACCTGAGGTTCACTAGGGACTAAGAAGTCCTTAAGAAGGGAAATGAATCATGTCATGTGCCTATGACATCCTGTAGATAAAGAGTAAAAGAAGAGAGGAAAACAAAAAGAGAGAGAGAGTTTGTTCCGTTTCCTTTTATACTGCATATTTGGCAACACCATCTAGCAGGCATTAGAAGAAATTCACTGGAAGACAAGTGGGGTAATTCCATATTTGGTGACTAGCAAAATCAATCTCAACAGGTTATAAGTCTAATTATTTTACCAATTGTCTGACAAGGTGATTTGAACATGTGATTAATGGCCATATCATCCAAATTGCATAGTTTTCATTGAAATATTACTCAAGAATCTTGGCTTTGCATACCAATTGTCTATTGTGCTAAGTTTTGAAATTGTGTTTTGAGATTAAATTCAGGTTTCTTTTCTCTACACAAAGCCATCTTTTTGTTTCCTGATATATTAATTAGAAACACATATTAAAAGTGAACTACCCTTCCTTGTATGATTCAGTAGTTATATACATTATATACATTAGGTATAATTATTCCTATCTGTTGAGAGAACATGTGTATGATGGCACAAATACTGATGTTGTAGTTTTATAAATTTTATAAACGTAATTCACCTTCCTAGTTTGTTTAGGAATATGTTTGTCTTCTCTCTGTATGAGTGTGTGTATATATATATATATATATATATATATATATATATATACACACACATATATATATATATATATATATATACACACACACACACATATATATATATATATATACACACACACATATATATATATATATATATATATATACACACACTATATATATATATATATATATATATATACACACACATATATATATATATATATATATATATATATATATACACACATACATACTCATAGGGTATATCAAAAATACTTTTACAAATTTTGGGGGTGGGTTACTCACACCAAAATAAAATAAGGACAAAAGTCCATATAAACATATGTCTGCAGATCCTTAGTTTATTAAGTTTACAGTAAATAACTGTAAATGTACAATCTAAGATACAATCCCAAAAATACTTTTTCAGATATTGGGAGCAGTTTGCTGACACCAAAACAATGTAAAATTATCATTTGTCCAGCTGTATGTAAAAATCATATCTGTTGGCTCATGATATTGATTATCCTGCATTTGTTAAACAGAACATGTCTCAGTTAACTCATTACTATACACATTAAATATTGAAGACAAACTAATCACAAATATATACGAATAACAAATGTAACCTCGTCTACATTGCAACACAGTGCCATCTACTGTAAACTTAATGACTCAAAAATGAAGGATTTGCGGATATGTTTATATGGACTTTTGTCCTTGTTTTGATGTGAGGAACCCACCCCTAGAGTTTGTAAATGTATCAAGATACACCTTGTATGTATGTATGTATTATATATAGTTCTAACACTAGAAATATAAGATCTACTGTGTTTGTGTGTGCATATATATTTATAATCTGTACTGCTATATTGATATTTATTTGTTAATTCATCTTTTTCTAATGTTCATTATTTTGTTGAGTGTGTTCTCCTTCATGTCCTTTCCCTTATTACAATGTTTATTTATCCTTTCCTATCTAAATAGCAAAATTATGTCTCTGCATGTGGCTACCATTTTGTATCACTCGTCATCTTGGTTGTAGATCATCAAAATTCTCAACCATCATCCTTATGCCATCATCATCCAAATTTTCTTCAACTTCTCTTATATTCAAAATAGCACTCACTTTGCAGTTTATTTTTCTTTATCTTTTTATCTGTTCTTTAAATTTTAGTCCCCCTTTCATCAATATCAACCATAAATATACAATTAATTCCAAGCAATTTGATTTTTATGTTTAACACATTGATTCACAAGGAATCTGGAGATTTGTGTGAGGATGAGACAAAAAAAAATGTGTGTGCATATATAAAGTATTATTTTGTTTATTGTTTTTTGTTTAAAGACATTATCATCCACACAGGCATTTGTTAATGTTTATGCAGGTATATAATAATGAGTATGTTTGTGCACATTTGAGTGTATAGGTGGGTGTTTATTTATAAGGTGTATTTCTACCCTTC